AATAATGGGTAAGTTAGAAGGGTCTTCACTCAAAACTTAGTTCAGAGTGAAATATTGTTTCCAAGGGTGCATTTAAAGACTGAAACTTTTTTGAGAATTGAAAGTCATTAATGAGTATACCAATACAAGTCTTTTAGTTTAGCCATGAAGCAATTGCCCTATGTATCTCTATTAATTTTTATATTGATTAATAAACACACAGTACTGGCCTGACCACAAGTTTAAAAAAAAAGATATATTTAAAAAAGGTATTTTTTTGTCTCTTATTATATATACTATATATGAATTAGAGATTTTTACCTATTTAATTAAAAAAATTTTTTTTATTATAAACGCTTTGAAAAAAAAATTATTATTGCAAAAAATATTTTATTAAAAAATCTAATCATTAAATATTTATATCAAGATTCTGTATTTCAAAATTTAAAATGTTTAAAAAAATTAAAAATTTTTATTGATAAAATATTCTGATATAATTTTGCTCAAAAATTTATTAAAAATTTTAACAATTAAATTTTTTCTTTTATTTAATTATAATATATATTTATTTGATAAAATACAATTATTTAATAGTATAAATATGATAAGAAATAATTATATAAATCAAAAATAAATGATCACATAAAATCAATTGCCCCAAAAATTATTTATATAAAATTTATTTGATTTTTTATAAATTAAAAACGAAAATTTAATAGAATATTTAAAATCAACTGTTATATTTAATATATCAAACTTTAATTGTCAAATAATTTTTAAATAAGGATTTTTTAAAAATTTAATGATAATTTTTAAACATAAATTTATTTAAAATATAATAATTATTATCTTTAATATATTAAAAATTTTGTCATTATTAAAATGACATTAATTTAGAAATATTTCAACATTTTTAAAGTCAAAAAATATATTCTAAAAATGGTTTAAATTATTGCATAATGAGAAAAAAACCAACTTCAATTTAAAATCTATTATTTATGCATTTTAAATATTTTTATTTTAAATATTTTTAAAACCATAAGATAATTAAAACATAAGTTACGCTTAAATACAGTGTTCTAAAATTTGATTATGACATTTAGATTTATCAAAACTAGTGTTCATTAATAGACTATTATCACATTATTTCAGAGTATTAAAATTAAAATTATCAAATACTATCAATTCAATTTTATTATTCTAGACAAAAGCTTATAAAAACAACGAATTTATTGTAAAATAAAAATTTATTAATTTTTGCCTAATTATTCATTTATATTCAAAAAATATTAAACCAAAACAATAATATTCAACGATAATTCAAAATTATTCTATTTGATATGTGTCATATATTTTATTATTGGTATTTGTCAAAGTTGCAAATGAATAAAGATTTAAAAATAAAACAACAATAATAAAAAAGACAATATAAAAATATAAATCGGAAAAGTAAAATTTAAAAGGTTAAATAATATAAAATCTAGTTAAAAAAGTAATACTTTATCTGCTATTGATCCTGTGCTCTTAATGCACAAAAATAAGAAACTCTGCCATTGCTTTCCATAATACTGGTATCACCCAAAGGTTCGTACAATATGGATCTAGAGTTAATGTTGACAATTGCATGCTGACATTGCTCGGGACACGTTTCAAAGTGAAAATTGATAAACAATGGAGCTTTAAATTTTGATTCGTCAGTATTACTTTTAATGATCTTCGTCAAGTCGTCTTTATTTGAAAAAAAACTCGGAACATTTTTTCTATTCAAAAGAATGTCCCAATTAATGTTTATCTGCCCGAAGAATTCATGATTGCACGAATTTTCTTCAACGGTGCTTTTTTAATTTGAAGATGTATTAATCATCGAAATGTGCAAAATTTAAATGATGCAAATAGAAAAATTAAGAACCTTGAAAATAAGTTTAGACTTTTAAAAAAGTTTGGATCCTCGCAAGGTCTTTTTTTCTCAATATCGTATGCAACCAAACATACCGAATGCTTCTCAAGTGAAAGATGTAAGCTAGTAATAATGGTAGTTTCATAAGGAACAAACGAAGTGTTCATTGCTGTTGCTTGTGCAGTGGAGGATAACTCAACAATTTCTGAACCAACGTCTAGCGATTTTGAAATGCATGTTGCTAATATGCATGTTGCTTCATGACTCGGTGCGTGAGGCGATTGTTGGGGTTCATATAAGAATTGATTGTTCAAAGTTTTAGGATTGCGACTAAAATCAAAACTTATAAATGTTATATTATTATTAATTTGATCAAAGTTGAATTTCTCAGGATAACCAACAATAATCCACCCAATTTGAATGTTAAATTTTTTCATTTCAATATTTTTTGATAAATTCTTGCTGTTTCCAGAACGATTAATCCGATGGATTAATATCACTGGAAAGTTATCTCCGTCATAGTGAACGCGTGAAGTAAATATGTCCTTTTCTTTTTTACTCATAATTGAAACGTAGATTTTGAATCGGTCTATATTAGCTGTAAATCTCAATTTTTTCCATAAATAAAACGTAGCAGGAATATTTTTGTTTACGTTTAATTCGAAGGAAAAATCTTCGATCTTCGCTGTTGGTTTGTCGATGGTAATTTGTATATAATTAAATAAGTAAAATTCTAATAATTATAAAAATAAATATTATACCTAAAACTATCTATTTACCATCTCGAATTACTTGACCGAAAACTTCTAGAACTTTATTCTTTAAATCCTCATCTAACAAGTCATATATTGAAGTAATTTCGTCGTAGCCAATAATTGCCCACGTGTTTGGGTTTTCAAGGGATTTGGACCAAATGACCGGATCTTTATCATATTTTTCCGCCAAACGTTTTAGAATAGGAATTGGTTTCTGAATTCAATTCTAATCCAGAATTTTCTCGATTCCCTGAAATAGTGAGTTCCGCAGAAGATACGAGAGCTCTTATGCTTAATTTATAGCCGTTAGACCTGTTTTCTAAAGAAACAAATGAGAATAAGTAAATCATTATTTAGCTAATTTAAAGTTATGGTTTTTAAGTAATATATTAAAGCAAAAGGACGCACTCGATGTTTTTTTATCAGTTATACTTTTTATGATTGCTCCTCCAAAAACAATACGTTTAGCATAGAAGTGACCATAATTTTTAGAAACTTCGCGTAATTTTCTTATTTTGTCTTCTCTTGAACTCTTTTCTAGAGCTTTTTTAACATCCTCCACAAAACTTTCTGATAATTTTACATTTGATATTTTTATTTCCGCTCTTTCGAACTTCTCGACCGAATATTTCGTCGTTTTTTGATATGACCTAGTCATATTAATAGAGTTTTCGTATGATGCTCCCAAAAATAAAGGCAATCAAGGTGTAGCAGCTGGGACACTAGCCGATGTGACAGGGTTTCGTTTACATATATCTTCAATTTCATTATGACACTCGAGCTCTTCTTCGTAGAATCCTTCATCCGTATTGATTTTTGTATCTTTGCTGTCTATTTTTATTTCGGCCACTTGTTTTGGAGCCTTTTCAATAATTACCTTATCTTTTGCCATATCTTCATCACATTTAATAATAAATCCGTTTTCACACATGCGAGTTAACCGTACCCAATCAGGTTTGTTAGTCTCTAATAAAATATTTAAAGTACCTATCTCGGTACCTCGATTTAAATTGTCTATTAAAATTTCTTTTGACTCTTCAATCGGATCAATCTTAATGCCGTTTTTATCAACAAAATAACAATTTGAACCCATGTAAAGTGAATCCTGTTCCTCTTCCCATTGTATCCTTATTTCGGAAAGTTTTGCAGTCTTTTTTAACGAACGCTTTAGCCCGTTTTCGCCGTTGATAATAATGCAAACTTTTACTTCATCAGTTTCGGTCATTAATTGGGAGCTTGGCCTCCGAGAAATGTATAAATTATCATTATCAAGAATTTCCCTAAGATAAGTGTGATATTCGTCGCCTTCATAGATTTCTGGCATATCCTTCCCTTTGTTTCTAAAGAAAAAATTCGCTTCGCCTAAAAGCTTTTGAACAATCTTTCGAATATTATTAATAGTATCGTTTGGAATTAACTTTAATCTCTTTGCGACACCATCAACATGTACATTAATGGATTTTTCTAATAAAATGAGATGGACAGAGTTATCCTCATAAAGTATATCATTCAATCCGTAATAAACTTCATTATAATGATCTATTAAGAATTTTTTTGTTTTAAATTGCAAGACATCTGGTTTTTTTCCAAATCTGTTGGCCACCGCATGCCTGATATCTTCTAGTTTGGCACTACGTTCAAACCATTCAACACTCGGCCCTTCATCATTAAGCTTAACTAATATTTCAATCTTTTGGTCTAAAATAAATTTTTTATATGTACGGAGTATTTTATGTCCATTTACGTATCATGCAGACATTTTTTTCTTATCTACTCAACTTTTAAAACCTTTAAAATTTATGGATATCTTAATTTATTATTTTTTATTTGCCGTTGAAATCTGCTTAGAAGTTGCTGATATTTTAGTGATTGCGCAACTTTTGACAATATTTGTTGTTCTGTTTATTCTTTCAACTGTTTATATTTATGTTCGACTGCAAGCGTACTATACAGGTGATGAAAACTTTTATTTTCTTTAACCTGGATATTATTATAACCCTTACTAACTGTATACTGTGATAAATTAACAAATCAACAAATTTTATCTGAAAATGAAGAAACGAGTGAGTTTAATTATTTTATCTATTCTTATAATACCGTATCTTTGCTAATTTAATTAAATATAGGTCGAGAAACCGTGATCGAAGAGGAAGAAACCAGTAGGTTTATCGATTTTTTTTTATTATTACTGTATTATTATTTGCGTCAATATAGATTTTTATATACGGTATTTCTTTTATTCCGGTAACTAAAAAAGGTCCCCAAAAGATGGCCGAAGAGGGTAAATTTTATTTCATTAGAGTTTCAATACTTTGAAGTCCGTTCACAATCAGCTTAAATGGTTTAACGAACGACTTTATAAAAATTAACTTGCCATTTCAGAATCTGCGAAATCACTTTTACCAAAACATGGAATAATAATCGATTTACCAAAGAAACATCGATCTCCGTCTGATCTCGGTAACATTAAATGGATATTATGCAATGATTATGTAGAATTTTCGGCAAACCTAGTATCTTGCAACGAAAAAAGAAAATTTTATCTCTTAGAAAATCACATGGAGTTGTCGAATACTCAAAATGCACCAACAGAATGGATTGACTTTATCAGTAAAACTATGAATTCAGGGGTAAACCCGCTATTAGATAGAACACCAATAAATGCAATATACCTTAGCTTTCGGTACAAAAAGTTCAACGCTCATATTGAAAGGGATCTCACGGTACCATCTGAAGAATTTAGAATGTCAATAATCCACGCCTTAAAAAATCCATACCCTCATAAAGAATTGATGAATACTTTTGTAATGTATGGTCACTTTGTACCACAGAAAGTCATCATAGGCCATAAGTTATATAAAATATCATGCATATATGATGAAATCCGTCATTCACTTAACGAGATACTTGTCAATATTGATGTGCCATCCAAAAGAGAAAGTGAAATCAGAGATAGTTGTTGCGAGAATATTCTTCGCCAATGGAAAAGTATTGTAGAACCATACGGAGTTGATCAGAATTACTTTATATCAACGTCTGGGGAAATAATTAAAGAAAGCAACATCGAGGAGTGGATACGTTCTTGCAATTTAAAAACATTACAAATTATTGGCTATGAGGATCTTCTTCCATCGTATGAAATTTTAGAAGAACCTCTTCGTTATCAAGTTAAATCTATTATAGGGATCGAAAATGATTCATTTATAGCTGCATACAATACTTTGACCGAGCCAATTATCCCCAAAATCAAGGAGAGAGTTTTCATGTCAGGCACCATACCATTAAAAAATACAAACAAGTATTATCACGTGACTTTTACAAGAAAATTAGATAGCGAAAATTATCGGATTTTAGGAAAACTTAATCATAAAAATTTACAAGACGTATCAATAAATCAACAACACATTACTGTGAAATTTAGATCATTAAGTGCTCATGGATTTTTAGCGCTAATAGAACATTTAGAAGACAGCAAGTAAGTAATTTTAAAAAAATCTATCCGTGCTAAGGTTAATATTTCATATAAATAAACTTTTAAACAACTTCAAGTACGCAACTAGACTGGATAGCTATCGGAATTCCTTCAGAAGTTGGCTGCTATGATCTACACACTCGCAATATTTTTATATTAAATATGGGCATGAAATCAATCACTCCGAGAATCCGTAATCTTCGGACCATGGATCTGTTATTGGAAGTCACACCTAACTTGCCGCCTAATTCTTACCTTACCACCGTTTTCGAATATCCACCATCTAACGATGAACCAAAATTGCGCACGGCTCTTGAATCCTATAATGGAGACAAGCTTAACCTCAGAATTATTAACAATGAAGATTCAAAAACAGTTGATTGCTGTGAAAGCGACTCAAAAGTTGTATGGTACATATTGACTTTTCATGAGGGAAAAAATGTCGAATTTGCTTCTGAAGATTTCATGAGAAAAATAGGAGAAAATATTTATAAAACAGGTTAGTATAAGTAAATTTTATTGGTACTCTAATCTGCTAGTAAAATTATTTATTTTCAAATTTTAAAAATAGTGTTATTTTATGTGGGTTGGTTTTAAATAATAATTGATTTTTACGCCTCTACTAAATGGCTATGCATAAAATATAATAGGGCAAATTTACACGGAATTTTAAGACCGAAACCCATCATTAAAATTCCTTCCACAAGTGAACTCGATAGCTCAATAATATCACGAGAATTTAACAATGAAGACTACGAAAATATTAAAACTATAGGAGGAGATTCTTTCATAAAAGAACTCGATAGCTCAATAAGTAAATTGAGTTTACGAAAATTTGATTACGAAGAATTTGAAAATATTAAAAATAAAAGAATGGGTTATTATGGAATAATATATGAGGCTTTTTTGAAAAGCAGTAGAAAGATAGTAACAATTAAAAGAATTGTAATTTTTAATGAAGATACAGCAAAAAACATTTCTTAATGAGGTATTTTATTTATTAAACGTGTGGTAATTTGATACAGAAGCATTAATAAATGCATATTATCATTTAAATAGCTTAAACTTCACCAAATCGTCGACTTTGATGATAACATTTTGAGATTTTTTGGAATTTCTAAAAAGAGTATTGAGCATATCGAATAACCTATTATTTAAGCACATAATAAATAAGAACCGAACTTAATAAATGTTTTTATTAATAGATTCGCAAGAACCCGAGTACTTTATTATATTTGAATACGCCGATGGAGGAACCTTGAGGAAATATCTCAGTAAAAACTTTAAACGATTAAACTGGAACGATAAATTACGCATGGCAAAACAAATTACGAATGCTATCGCATATTTACACGAACTAGACATTGTTCACAGGGATTTGGTAATTAATTTATTATGTTCATACTGTATTGTATAGCATACATTGTATAGCGTATTATTATAATCTTTGTATTTTGTTTTTAGAATTCAAGAAATATTCATATCCGTGAAGGAAACATAAAACTTGCAGATTTTGGAAAGTCCGAGCAACTTCGAGATGCATCGAATACTCGGTCCAATATACAACATTATGGAATTATACCGTACATCGATCCACAATGTTTTGGAAACAATTATTCAGATAAACCCAAAAAGTCAGATATTTATAGTTTGGGCGTTTTGCTTTGGGAGATAACAAGCGGACATCCACCTTTCCATCGCGGGTATAATAGTGCTGAGCAAGTTTATCAAATCTTATTGGGTCGTAGAGAAGCTAGAGTAGAAGGAACGCCCTTGGAATATGTCGATATTTATGAAGGTATGTTCATATGTATTCCATGAATATAATCAATAATGTTTACAGAATTAATCATTTTAACTTCATTAGCTTGTTGGGACGAAAATCCAGATAAGAGACCAGATATTACCGAGGTCAGGGAATCACTCAACTCTTTGGATACGACAACCGTATCAGATGCACCCGTGCTAGAACTCTCTAAAGAATCACAACATATTAAGCTTAGCGAAGCAAAGAACACCAGTACAGAAATGAATTATATAATAAACAGCGATCTGGTTAGAAAATTTGAAAATCAGAGTTCGGAAGCTTTATTGAACAATCTATACCAGTTTATTACTGAAAAGATAAATAGGGGACTTATATCTTTTAAAGGCCCAGAATTAACAAAATACATCAATGAATTTATTGAAAACAACCAGACGACAACGTTTCATGTTTTTAGTTTATTAAATAGTTGCCAGGAAGATTCGAAGAATAACTTAATCATTGGATTATTTTTTCAGTATACAATTGGAATCACTCAAGATTACGACAAGGCGTTTCAGTATTATCAGAAATCAGCGGAACGTGGAAATACTTATGGACAGATTTACCTTGGATGGTGTTACCGGAATGGATTTGGAACTACTCAAGATAAAAAGAAAGCATTCGAGTGGTTCCTCAAATCAGCTAAAGGTGGAAATACGGATGGACAATATAATCTTGGAAATTGTTACGCGAATGGAATTGGAACTACAAAAGATGAAAAGAAAGCATTCAAGTGGTTCCTTAAATCAGCTGAAGGTGGAAATACGGATGGACAATTTAATCTTGGATGGTGTTACCAAAATGGATTTGGAACTACGAAAGATATAAAGAAAACATTCGAGTGGTATCTCAAATTAGCTATAGGTGGAAATACGAATGGACAATTTAATCTTGGATGGTGTTACCAAAATGGATTTGGAACAATAAAAGATGAAAAGAAAGCATTCGAGTGGTTCTTCAATTCAGCTGAAGGTGGAAATACGATTGGACAAAAAGAGGTTGCACGATGTTACAAAAATGGAATCGGAACTACGAAAGATAAAGAGAAAGCAGAATACTGGATAAAAAGGTCCGAAAAGTATAATATTTTCGATATAAATATATTATAATATGTTCTCGCGCTTTTATATTATTAATTTTACACTTTTATTTCATTAAATACTGCATATTTAACTGGTTTATTTGTACGTGTATTGACTGTAAAATCTAAACGTACTCGCATGCTTTTTATTTATTTATTTTCTTAATAAAATAAAATGAAATAAATATTATTAAATCAAAAATAAAATGAAAAAAAATTGAAAAAAAATTCGAATGAAAAAAATAAAAATAAAAAATTTAAATTAAAAAAAATAAAAAATAAAAGAAAGAAAGAAAAAAGAAAAGAAGAAAAGAAAAAAGAAAAAGAAATAAAAAGATAAGAAAAAATAAAGAAAAAGAAAAAAATAAAAAATGAAATAAAAAAATAAAAGAAAGAAAAAAAATTAAAAGAAAAAATAAAATAAAATAAAAAGAAAAAAAATAAGAAAGAAAATAAAAATAAAATAAAAATAAAATAAAAAAAAAGGAATAGTAGGAATTTCATGCGCGAAGCTTCGTCCATATTCCCTTTTATCATATGAATAATTTATGTCGCCTGTCCCCCTCTATTTCTCGCTCCCTCCTTTTTCCTCTTCTCGACCTTTTTTTTTTTTCAAAAAAGATCATAGTATATACAGATTGCCCCCGTTATGACCAACTTTTATTATTACTAGTATAAATATAAAATTTATACGTAGTACATTTCACCGCACAATTTATTTATAGAGGAATGAGTATTTGTTCGGAGGGATTTTTGCGAGAATATGCGACTTACTGAAAACTTTCGAATAAGAGTAGATATTCACAGTGTGTGAAGGGAAGGACGAAGCTTCGCAGATAAATAATGACAAAGACCAAAAACTTCTCTTATATTCCGTAAAATTTTTCGTAGGGCCCAGTTACGAAAACCAATAATAATACAAGAGTTAAGGTCTGAAAAACTTATTTTCGAGAAAGGTGACTTTCATTTAGAAAATTTGTGTGAATTAGGCGCGTCCGTATGACGCGTAAACATGACGGAAATAATTGTACGTATTGTCGTATTACGTAGTTTATTATCTGTAAAAATACGCTTACGTGATTTTTTTAGATAACACGATATAGGATGACGTACGCGTTTCGATTACTAGAAATTGAAAACATCATGAACATTAAAGTATACTGTAAATAACATAATACCTGATCACTTAATGTACGATTTTTTAATATACAGTATTTACCCGCCTGTACATACTGTATTGTCACGGAGCAATCGGCGAGTTTGGTACTGGTCTGTACACTCACGTATTAACGCGCTCACACGAATTTTGTAAAATTTGTTCCTTTCAGCATACTCTATTCGATCCTAATATCCTTTGTCTATTTGCCTTATACACCGTCTCCCAAAAAGAACGCAACACCTGATCGTCGATCTTTAAGTGTTAAAATTTTGATCAGTTCAGATCAAATCATGATGAAATTTATAGTATATACAGTGTATAATCTAATCTATTTGGTGTATACATTAGAATAGTG